GCTTCTGCACATCTTTCTCAGTGCTCTCCTGTTAGGAATAAAAATCAGCAGCCTGTAGCTGCCCCCATCTTCCCTCGTACTTGAACCACTAAGCTTACCACTTCAGCTGGTGACTGAATAGAAAAAATGGAACTACATATAAAAAAGCAACCCTTATTATTTTTTGCAATTCCGAAGCCATATTCAACAAGCCTACTCCCCATGGACCTGTACTGTAGCACACTAGTGGCTGGGGGGAGTACCTGTATGGCAGAATCTTTCATCTGAGCATCTCACAACGCTGTTTGACAGTTGTGGGAACCTGGGGGAAACAATTCCATGACTGACCAAAACACCAAGGTCACAAAGCAAGGAAAGGAACCCCCATGTCCTGATGCTGTAAGATTTGCAATCCACTGTCCTGGCCAGTGCCATTGGACCAACTGAAGATTCCCTGTTGCATTTAACCTGGATGAAGATGATGGCTCCTGGTCATTGGGACAGTAAACCCTCTCAGGAGGCCACATTTTCCACAGCTGGAGGCCACCATGCAGGTCCATCTCCTGCCCACAACCTCAAACTTACTCGTGTTTCCTTTCACCCATCCCTTTAACTCACCACAGTAGAATTCAGGGGAAACCTTTGCAGGTGTAAAAGACAGAAAATGTCTCACTGCTATATTGATGTAAACACCAAGCGACAGCAGGAAGATCAGAAGGGTGTTTGTTTGCTCTGCAGAGTCCAGCCCAAAGGACATAAGGTGAAATCTCCAGAAATGTTAGCAGACACATTATGAAGCCTTTTCAACTTCTGGAGCATTGGCAATGATAGAGAGGACTTTCAAGCTGGTTGTTTGAAAGTAATTCCTAGGGAAAACTGTGAAATCTCTTTAACTGCCAAGGATGACAGTGTATCTCTGCAATACCTTCCTGGCAGGAGAACAGCACGAGATGTAACCCAGATCCCTCAGAGAACCAAATTCCATGCCTAGAGCCTGAATTCAAACAGGTATTTCTTTGACTGTTGTTTCTAACCCCATCCATCTTCCCTTCTTCACAGCACTGAAACAAAACAACTGAGACTGTTTTCACGTTCAGAAAGAAAGGTACCCAAGTGAAGTGTGTAATCCAATTAATTTTAGTTTTATTTGACCATATCAAAATCCATCATGGCTTGAGAGTAAGATGAAATTGGGAAATGAGCATCAAGCAGCAGTGAAGGCATTCACAACTGCAGAGCCTTTTGTTTTTTAAAGAACAAGTGGTCAAGAAATTCAAACACACACCCACTGAGAGGGGGAGAGGATGGGCTGCAAACAACCAGGATTTGATTACTGCTGGAGGTAAGCCAGGGATAAAGATTTGGTTTACAAAACATTCCAGCTAAATGGTACACTATTATGATGACAGAGTTACTCCCACAAATCCACCTATCCTGACATTTGACTAAAGCTATTTATGAAAGGTGATTCCATAATTGCGACACAGAAGAGAGCTCTGCTCAACAGCCCTGGAGCTCAGTAGCTCCTGATTTGGCCTCTGCAGCACAGGAGCATGGACGCGCAGGAAATGTAATTCCTCAGCTGCCTCAGCTGCCTGGCCAGGCAAAACTCACTCGGATCGAGATTTCCTTCCAGGATGAGCTCTGAATGAAACACACCATGAATGAAACAGGGCTGAAGTGTGTTAAAACACAACCCTCACATTTTTTAAGGGACTCTCTCCATATTCCCATAAAGCAGCAGGCAGAACTCATATCTCTGTATCAACTCCCTTCTCCTTATAAACAGGGGGACATTCTGGGGCTCACTGCAGCTGAAGGTTGTTATAGCAACCACAAAATAGCTCCAGCAACAAATGGTAGCAGGAATCTTCCCTTCTCAGCCATCTCCTGCACTGACCCAGGCTCTGCTGGGCTCAAGGGCTGGATTTTGTTTCAGTGCTTCTGGATATACCAAAGCAGAAAGCAGACAAGTGTCTGCCTCATTTGAGAAGACCTTGAGACACAATTTGCTCCAGGAGTTTTCCAACTCCTAGCCAAGCCAAAGAGGAAGAGTGCAACCAGTCTGACCTGGGCAGGGACGAGCACCTACATTCTCTGGAAGAGAACACAAACGTCTTGCAAAGGGGAAACCTGAAACAGCACAGAAATGCCCTGAAAGAGGCAGTGAAACTTGCCCAGCCGGAGTGCTGAGGCATCTCAGGGCACAGGCATAAACAGCTTTGAAAGCAATTGGTATGGTTTTCTAAATCAAACACCATCCCCTTCCTCTTCTCCTTCCCCTGCTCCATTCTCCCTTCCTCAGGAAGGGCTACGCATGGCAGTAGGCACTGGGATGTCACCCCACAAACCTCTGTTCTGTGCTCTTCTTCACCAGTGACATGCTGGGCACACAGGCAAGCCTGCTGTGCCTCGGTTTCCCCTTGCTCTCCCTAAAAACAGGTTAACGTTCTCCCACGTGTCCTTTGCAAATTGAAATCTTTGAGATGTAAGAAAACACAGCCCTCATCAGAGCGAAAGTTGCGTTCTTGTCTCTTTTCCCTAAAAATTGCCTTAGCTTTAGCATGATGAAGAGGACTGAGCTGACTCTAGACCACATACCCGATCCACTCATTTTGAAGTGGCAGAGAAATCAAGTGATCCTTGTAGCAGCAGCCTCAGCAGTGGGCTATGGCACTTTAGCTTCTGGCCTATGTCTGAAGTTGTGAAGGGATAAATTCCCCTATTATAGGCTTGATTTGTTGAGACAGGATGGAAATGAAGTAATCCTGTCTTAATTTCTTTCTGCTACCTGATCTGGAGGGAGACAACTGGGACCAATTTCTTTACCACAGCACAGTGAAACTGTGAGAAAATATTTGTCTCCCCATTTTTGGCTTCTGCCTGCTGATAAACATTGCCAACAGGAACTTGTTGTGATTAATAAAGGCACATGCATTAACCATGTTCAGGCAGAACCAAACCCTGTACTACTAATAATAATCTGATACAGCTTTCTCACATCTCCGTGGGTGCACATGCCCATTACCAGGAATATGCTTCCCTCTGCTGTCAGCAGCTGGAATCTTGTGTTTATAGTTTTCAGATGTGCTCCATTCAAAATAAATAAATTTTTAAAAGAAATCTACCCAGAGTTTACAAGGCTATGTTTTATTGGTTGTAGAGGATCAGCTTTCCATCAACCTGTGGCAGGAAAAATCAGCCAACACATAAGCAAAATGGTAAGTTTTGTAAGAAAATGGTCTTAATATTGCCATAACTTTACCAGGATCACACAGATAACGTATACTTGCAGTGAGACTTCTATTAAGAAAATTTTTTTAAATGAGAAAAATTGACGTAAAGTTTTGGGCTACTCCTTCTGCAAAGCAAGAAATCCAGCACAGGTATGGAGGAGAAGTACAGGGCTGCCCCAGGGATGTAACAGTCCCCATTTACTCATGGTCTTCAAGCCCACGTGGGAGCCTGTTGCTGTCCAGTGTTGGGAGAGTTAATACAGATACTTATCCGCTCATTTATCCGCTTCCCATTTTGGAACAATACAGAGTTCACCCTTCTCACACATCAGCTGGGAAGGCCATGCAATCAATGCCTTTATACACTTTTAAATCCACTACTTTCCAAGAAAGAGTTTAATTGAAAGGGTGGTGGTTGGAGGGAGGGGCAGCAGCAGTACCCAAACCATCCTTAAGTATCCTTTGGAATAAAAGGCTGAATGAAGAATGGCACCATTTGGTGTCACCGTGTAAGGCAGTGAGGTGACTGCAATGCAAAACTTTCTTGTTATAAGGCTCATGAATGCAGCAGCTCGATCTACATTTTGTGAAAATCTTAGTATTGAACCACAATTAATATCATCCTGTCCATACGCTCTAAGTAACTGTATATGAAATGGAGGTGTTAACATTCTTCCCAAATTAAAAACACATCTGTTCACTTTTGGGAAAAGGTGTCTCGAGGGAGGAGTGGGTGGAAGGGAAAGGAGAGCTCTAGAAAACTGTCAGACACAGGGAGACTTACTAATCCTTGGCTGTACCTAATACAACTGAGCTTTGAAGCTGGACTTGAGCAGAAGAGCTGGGGAAGAGGCACAGCTGAAGTCTGTGGGAGTGGAGAAGGGAGACCCGACAGAGCCGGGGCTCCAGGAGTTTAGAAACCCAGTGGAGATATAGCTGAGCTCTGCTTTATCATTATTAAACACCAGCCACACAGGACTGAAGAATCAAGCCCAAATCTGACAGCCCTCAAAGAAAAGTGCATGATGTGCCTTTCCTAGAAAGCCTTTTCTTGCCATGCATAGCACAATATAATAAATAAATACATTTTTAAATCCCCATAGGCTCAAAGAAACCCTGACCCCCCAGTTATAGGGAAGGGATAAATCACAGCCTTGGTCTGGGCTTTCAAGTCCGTAATTCTGTGTTTTGCATGGATGTGGGATAACGTTGATGCACCAGAAATGCAGGTGGAAGACGCATCTGCGGGGGCAGGAAAAGAGACACATTTAACAGATGTCCTTGTTATGTTATATAATTTCAGAGTTGCAAATCTTTGGTACTTACTCATTTCTGAGCAACCCTGAGCACTGTAACACTGCAACAGCGGCACCAAGAGGTCTCTCAACAGCACAGTTCCACTGCACCTAATCGGCCAGACTGCTGTATTTCTCTACCCACTTGTCTCTCATGTCATGCTACCCAAGCTCTGTCATTTCATTAGAGACCCTCTTCAAAGCAGCTACTCATGATGGAAGCTTAAAGGGCATCAAGTTACCTCCTCAAAACTATGATGAACCCAGAAATCCAGGCACAGGGAACAACCATAAATCCCCAAAGCCCATTCTCACTGACGGTTTTAGAAGAGCAGTGACTTAGTTCCTCATTTTGGAGAGATGAACCTCTCTAGCTTCTAAGTCTTACGTGTTTCATCTCAAACAGGAACTTCAAGAGACTCACACGATGGGGGCAGGTTGTCTAGGGGCTCCCAGGGAAGGCAGGGTCCTGGCAGAGCCTAGCAGGAGGAAGAACTGAGCTGCTCTGTGCCTGCCCACTCTGCTGAGGTACCAAAAAAAAACGGGAACCGAGGAGGAAACTTACTTTCTTTTTCTGCTGTGGGCTGGAGTGAGTAGAGGACCCCTTGCTGGAAGGTAAGAGGGAGGCTTGGGGTGGCTGGTGGCCCTGGAGGACCTGGGGGACCTGGGATCCCAGTTTCTCCTGGAAGTCCTCTTGGTCCTTGAGGTCCCAACAGCCCTGTGCAGAGGCAGGAGAAGATGTGTTACTGCATCTGAAGACGTGCTAATGATACTACCACATAAAAAGGCAGTAAGATGACAAAGAATTTCTGTCCTGAACTGTAATTGCAGGAATCAGGGGTGTGGAGGCAAATAGGAACAGCTTCCCAATTTTCCATTATTTGCCTTGAGCATCTTCCTCTGCAAAGCAGATAGCCTCACTTGGCTCAAAGGTGCTGTGAAGTTTAATTCCTGAAAGAGTAAAACCTCCTCCCTTCCTGAGGCTGAGCAAGAAGCTAAAGGCAGCAAGGTGTGAAATCAAGCGCCGCTCTTTCTGTTCCCCTCCATGTACACCTGTACGTCACCTTACTGCCAGGAAAGTGCAGAAAGAACAACGGAAACCCAGTCAGTCCAGCAGTAGACTGATTCTGCTTCCTGTGGGGCTGGAAGGCTCTCATTGCAAACTGAGAAACCAACAGGCAGACACATCCTTGGCCAGACTTTAGCCATCGACAGGTTGCCAGAAAATGCCAAAAAGTGTTCAGCGCCGCTCTCACATTTAAGGCACACTCCAAGTTTCAAATCTTTCCTGAGCTCAGATTTACAAGGCACAGCCTTTTAAGACACATAGCAAGCACAGAGCCTGATGTCTGGCACCTATTGTGTAGTATCACCTTCATCAAAAGATTTAGGAACATTTTGGGGATGAAGAAAGTCTCCTAGCTGAGGAATGGAATGTACTCTGAGAGAATGGCCTCATAACCTTTTCCCTTAACACACAAAAGCATCATTAGTTTGACATCCTGGCGTCTGACAGCTTGACACAAATGGTAGAGAAAAAAGGGAGTTAAAACAGGCACACAGAGAGAGGGTTAAACCGAGAAAGCTCTTCTCCAAAGGCTGACAGATTAGAGACTGGTTTTTATAGCTTCTGAGCAGGATGGGAAACATGATCCTGCTCTGCAGCTTTCTGGGACAAGCTCTCTTCAGCTCCATGGAAAATCACAGAGACTGTCATTGCTCATGCAGGTGGCTGCCCGCTCTGAGAGCTGCTGGCTGATTTCAGTGCCCACGGGACTTGCTGGAGTGGATTCAACACCAACTGAAAAAGCTCAACTTCTTGGGTGTCCAGCCTTTTCTGACATGTCGTCACAGACAATTTGTATAAAGTGAATTATGTCCTATCATGGTAGCACTGCCCTCCTCCAGGACTTACCTGGTGGTCCTGCTGGGCCCCTCTCACCAGGCTGTCCCTTCTCTCCTTTTGGCCCTGGTGGTCCTGGAAGACCAGTTGGTCCAACTGGGCCTGGAGGACCAACCTGTCCTGGGAGCCCTGAAAACATTCAGAAAGGAAATTAGTTGGAAGTTAGGACACTGCTGAGGTCAGAAGGTCTTTAGCAACCTAGAAACCAGAGGAGAGGGACTCAAAGATGCAAGAGGGAGAAATGCAGCTTTGCTCAGACAGAGTGGTACTGGTGGCAAAAAGGGCAGAAGAGCCAGACTGTACCTGGCTTCTCCTCTTCTTCCTCCAAAGTTTAAAGAAATAAGTGTGCCCCCACGCACAAGGCCCACCCCAAAGAGTCAGCAGGACGTGTATCTCCAGCTGGGATGTGCTGGTCAGAGCTAAACTGAGTCCACACTGTCCCCTTCCCAAGGTCTGCAGGTTCTGGGCCGGGTCTGGCTGGTTCCCTGCTAGCTTCCCCAGATACACATGTCAGCTCCATGGTAGTCCCAATGTATCAAAATACACAAAATATATTTGCAAAAGAAATCAAACCCCGTCTCCCACTTGCTCCGGCTGATCTATACAAAGCACCCAGAGATTCTGCATCAAAGATGTTTCCCTGTTTTCATTCATCTAACAAGCGTACCACACTGTGCACAAGCATTTTTCATCCCAAATTGAAATTAATGCACCCACACTTTTGAAGTAAGTAGATGTTACTAATTTGTATCAGTGAATAGGGTGCTGAGCAAACCCATCTGGAAATACCAGTAACACAATAATTACAGCCCAGCTGGATGCTTCTTGGAAAGTCCACTCAGCCCCCCAGCAAGCCTACAAAAAGCGCAGGTAGCATTTTTAATCCAAAAGTGACTATTTCTGATGACACTAAATAAAATCTCAATGCTGTTTTCTTTAGACTATCAAAATAACGGCAACATGTGGCAACTTTATAGTGTTTTTCAGAAAAACCCTGTGCAACTTTGGCTCACAAAAGTAGTAGCTGCTTTGGAAAGATACACTTAAATACTGTGCAAACATCAGTGAAGTCCTTAATACCTTAGAGAGGTGGGTGAGCGAGTCTGTCTACTCAGATTAAGTGGTTAATGGTTACAATAAAGGCATTAACTGTCAGACCCAAGAGAGTCAGAGGTTCCTGGTTTCAGGACTACCAAAGGGCTTTTTGAGTATTTGAAAGCAGTGGCAGATGCAAACTACAAAGCCAGAGGTAGATCTGTCCGAGCCCAAAGTTCAGTGCACTCAGACTTCAAGTTTTAGTCTGTATATTACATATGACCATAATCCAGCAGAAAGCAAGTTAAGTTGATAAACTCTTTGGCAGCGTCCTTCCCTGGCATCAGAAGAGGAACTGGACCCCCCAAAAGCAGCGCCAGGAGAACCTGCTGCATGTAGGGGGTGGAGAAGAATGGAGGGAGAGAAGGAAAAAAGGCAACAAGCTGGCCAGCTTGTTGTACCTCCACAGCAGTTACCAAAGGGAACAGGGCTACAGAATAAAAACCAAGGCTCAGGGGATTTGCGGCTCCCACATTTGGATCCAGTTCCCACTCTAGGTGTGGGACAGCCCACCTGGGGCACAAAACCTTGTCCTCCCTGACCTTCATCTCTGCATTTCTCAGAACAAAGCAATAATATCCCAATATTAGACCCCCTGAAAGATTCCACTTCCTCTCCTTTTTTTTGCCATTCTGGAGAGAAGTCCAAATTACTTTTTCTTAGAAAAAAGAAATCTATCCATCTCTAACCCACGGTGAAACTGGGCAGATTTGAAGCAATGAGATTTTACAAAGGCTTTGTGTGAGTGTGTGTGCCTGTAGTTTTTGGTTAATTCAGTCATCAGTGCGATTTGAGTATTGAACAAGGGATTAAGGTAAGGCTTTAATTTGGATCAATTTGCTTACCCGCAGGACACAAACCACAGACTTTTCCATGAATAGAGGGGCTCCTTTGGTAGATCTCACCTGAGAGTGGATGCTGTACTTGGCAAGCTCAGGCAGGTGACCAGGAGCCCATTTAAGAGAGCAAGAGCATTTGTTCCCAACATTGCAAACAGCTTCTCCCCCCTACCAAAAATCCCCAACACACCTGTGTCCTGGTTTCGGCTGGGATAGAGCTAATTTTCTTCATAGTAGCTAGCATAGTGCTGTGTTTTGGATTTAGTACCAGAAGGATGTTGATAACACACTGATGTTTTCAGCTGTTGCCAAGTAGTGCTCAGACTACTCAAGGACTTTTTGAGCTTCTCCTGCTTGCCCAGGTGCATAACAAGCTGGGAGTACAGCACAGCTAGCACAGCTAACCCAAACTGACCAAAGAGCTATTCCATACCATATAACGTCATGCTTGGGGGGGGGACGGTTAGTTCGGTCTTGTATATTCTGTATATTCTGTTATTATTATTATTATTATTATTATTATTATTTTCTCTTATTAAACTGTCTTTATCTCAGCCCTCGGCTCTAACCTTTTATTTTCTTTCCGATTCTCTCCCCCATCCCACTGAGGGAGGGGGGGGAGTGAGCGAGCGGCTGCGTGGTGCTGAGTTGCCAGCCGGGTTAAACCATGACAACCTGAAACTTCATTGCAGCAAATTCTTTCCAGCACAGAGGGAAGAACAGCAGAAACACTATTTTGCAAGCACAACACACTGTGCTGCTGAGTGTAGGTCAAAACATTTCCTCGCTTGTGTAAATCAGCCTCAGTCCTTCAGTTCAACCTTTATAACTCAATCCTGTGAACTTGCAGACCAAGAGCAATCATTTGCTGCCAGCATCCTCAATCACACTGCTGCAGCGGAGCTTTAAAGGAACTGGCACTTAGTTCCCTGAAGGTGGAAAGCGCTGAAGGAAAGGCTAGGAGAAGCAGCACTGAGTAACATATCAGGCAAATGCTCATACTGGTGACAAATGGTGTTACCAGCATAAAAGAGACAAGTGTAAAAGGGAGAAGAAAGAGGGAAGGATTCAGGGAAAAAGGGGGAAGGAAATGAATAGGCCAAATCTTCAACTGGCATAAATCAGCTCTGCTGCAGTGGCATTGCTTTCAGAGAGCTGAAGCCCATGGCGAGTATTTATCCTCCAAAAATAAGAAAGAAAAAGCCACAGGGAAAAATAAAAATAAAAAGAAAGGGCAGAGGGTGAGTATTCTACTGCTGGAGACCAAATCAGACGTGCAGAGACCTAGATTTTCTTCCTGGCCCTGTCATTAACCTGCAACACACCATCTGTTCCCTCTCCTTCCCCAAGGTTTTCTCTGTAGAGGAGCAGAGTATTCTTGGTTTGCATGGAGCTTAGCAAAACAATGCCCAGAACATCACCAGCAGCTCTCGGTGCTCTGGGCAGGCAATACCAATGAGATAATAACAGTGTTTTCTCCCATCACTCAGCACACATCCTGCTCGCTCCAGCCATGTGTCCTTCAGGGAACTGCCTCTCCATCGGGCAGCGCTTTCCACCCTTGGTGTGCTGGGGGAACTGAACGTCTCAAAGATGATAAAGCTGGTGTTTCACCTCCCTAACCGAAGCAGCCCATGATCAGATAAAACCCAAAGAAGAAACTCAGCATCTCTGTGTCTGTGAGGCTCCGAATCACTGAGGACTCCTGGCCGTAGGACCCTTCTGCTTTTGGGACACATCACATACAGGACTGGGCATAGCAACATTTTTGTGCTTTGAAAGAGGAAACAGCAGAAACCAATGACTTACCCTGCGGTATTAGCTGCTCCTCTGCACCTCTGTGTCCTTTAGGCTCTAGTTAAGAGGGACAGGGTAAAAAAAAAAAAAAAGAAAGAAAAGAAGAAGAAAAAGATATGAAAAATTAGGTCTCTTGCTGCCAACTGGCTCAGACAGAGTATATATATTTTCGTAATACTCAGTAAAATGTATCCTGTTGATTAACAAGCTGATCAGAAAGGCCAGCGGTGCAGCTGTCTCAAAAGCTCTGATTGCTTTTAAATGATTGTCTATTCTCAGCCCTGTCACTCATGGAAGAAATAACTACCCTAATAATCGGTAGCAAGTTTTCCTGGACTTCAGCCTGGAGAGGTGTCAGCCAACCCAGAGCTACAAGGTCATCCAGAAACATTCCCACCATTCAAAGCATCCAGTCCATATCAACCATCTTTGAGTTAGGCACCAGCATTCTGCCCTTAGTCCATCCAGTTGAGGAAGTCAGCAGCACACAAGCTAGGATTTGGATTTGCTTTGGCTGAAAAACTAGAAGCAGGGCAAGGTAGGCAATATTTCACAAAAAAACACTGGGGAAGGGGATGGAAGGGACAGAGGCTTAGCTTTCCACAACCCCAAACCACACAGGGCACTCAGGTTTGACTTCTACCTACTCTAATACTGCACTTGTTGAAAGATCTGAGGTCTGCAATCACTGTAAGCGAACCTGGGGCCAGCTTTAAGCAACAAGTCACAGTACGGTGTTGAAATCATGCAAAATAGGCAGTCCCCCACCATCCTAAACCAACTGCGTGAAATTCCCTACATTTCACCAAAATCCACAGTGCGTTTTTTTGACTGGCTTTGAATTGTAGATAGAAACTGGTGTGGACAGGGAAGGAAGCCAAATGTGGACCCAGATCCATGAAACATCCCCACAGCTCCATAGCAAAGCAAGCATTTGAAGCCCGCAGAGCTTGGGTAGCAGCTTGAGCAAGCAATCACATGTCAATAAGCAACTTAACTGATTACTTCTAATTGCTGAAGGACACTGTTCTGACCTGAAACGGTCCAGTGCATGCCTGATTCACGGTTATTACGCTAGAGTTGTTCTTCCACACTAGGTTAAATAAATCAAGGCTAGAAAAATAAAAGGTAACAGTGAGCAAGGACTACGCCTGGTAGCACGCAGGCAGGGCTGTAACGTGCGCAGCCGGCTGTGTGCACAGCCTGGAAGTCTGCCTGACAAGACAGACTCATGTAAAGCTCAGACAACATCACCTGTATTTTGGAGGTGATTGCTAGCTGCCTCCTGGATTTACTGCAGGGGTGGAGGGTGCTGATACTGGACCATGGAGTCAGCCTGATGCAATTGCTGCAGGAGATCTGTCCTGGTTTGCATCACTGCCTGGGTGAGTGGCATTGGCTGCTCCTTGCTGAGCAAGAGGAGATTATCATATGTACAGAGCATCCAAGAGGAAAGGACTTTGAGTGGAAGGTACAGAGTCATCGGTACTTTTGCTGGATTGACTTTAACACAATGAAGTGCAGGTGCAGAGATACTGCAACAGCAAAAATAAATGACATGGAGAAGGCAGAATGAGCATATAATGGACACTGGGGGAAACTGCTTTAATTCAGTTCCTGGCAGCTGTCACTGTGGTTCTGAAAATACTTTGCAGAACATATTGTTAGTGAACCTCCCTCCATGTTGTGGCATCCTGTCAAATTATAAACATGGACGACATCTGGTCTATGTTGGTTGCTCCAAATCTGCTGCAGTCATGAAGGGCTGCCATAATAAACTGCTCTGGCTGAAAAAAAAAAGAAAGAAAAAAAAAAGAAGAAAAAAAGCAAAGTAGACCCTGTAGAGGATAAAGAACTAAAGAACTGCTCTGGGAGCAAGCAAAGCAACTGACAGACAGGGCTTTGGAAGCAGAGAGTGGGATCTTGAAATGAGAATGCCAAGGTCAAGGAAATTCAATGCGTGGGGATCTGTCTAGCCAAGTGGGCTCAGAGGGAGATTTTCTTATGAGTGTATTTTTTTTTCATGCCACAAGAGGGATCATAAAACAGCCCATTGTGTTTATGGTAAATTTTAAAAAATATAACGCAGACTGCAACTGATGTTGCTATTCATGGGAAAGTTTTTTGTCCTAATAAAACCAAGAATTATCCCTACCACAGTCCTCCCCGCAGAGCTCCCAGACGGGGAAATGCTGCATTCGGTGCTCAGTAGGTGAGTATGAATTGTCCCCCCGTGATCCCGATGGCTCTCTGGAGTTTCCTCAGGAATGTTTCAGCCTATCCAGGCCTCAAAATCCATGGTCTTTGGACTTAAAACATGTACACTGAAACCCACAGGCAGGCATAGCGGCCCTACTGAGGTTAACAGGCATCTAACTTTCCAGAGACCACAATTTGGCTCTCAGTAGAAAGTTGGCTTGTGCCAACAGAAATGGAAACTAGTGACAGGCCGTTAAGGCTGGCAAAATGGAGCTTAATATGTTAGTTTCTGAGCTTAGCCATTTTCTTCCAGGAACAGGCCTGCCCTGTGCTGGCTTAACTCAAAGAGGGGCAGAGACATGGAGAGAAAAGCTGAAAGTCCCTCTCTGTGAAGCGGCAATCCTCGCTCCTGCATGGGCAGTGGGAAGGGGCTCTGAGGAAATCGCGACCAGCTCCCTCCAGCTAAAAGGATGGTTTGAGGCGGGATCGGAGAGGATTGAATTCCCTTGTCCGTGAGTCTGCATGGGTGTTGGCATGCGACCACCTCTGCGTTCACAGCTCGGCAGAGAGGAAGAGACATGAGACAACATTAAACCCTTGGACTGAACAGCCCCTGGTTTGAAGGAATCCTGGCTCTAGAGCAAAATAATGCTGATTCTTACCCTAAAACAGAGGCAGAAAGCTCTCAAAATGCCTCTCCACAGGGTGATTTTCCTGTTGAGCACAATCCCATCTTGCAGCGAGCCTTTGCAAAAACCAAAGCTATGGTGTCCCTGCTGAGGGCGCAAAGCAAAGTGCAGACATGGAGCCACTCATGCCAGCAAGGCTGCCTGCCCCGCGCTCATCAGGCAGCACCACGCAGACTAAGCGTGGCCATTCCCTTCGACAGCTCCCTGCTGGATCAAACACACGGCAGCAAACATGCCCACAAAAAAAGAGAGGAATTGTCCATCTGAAAATCTTAACGCTCTTCTCTTTTCAGAGCAGAGGGAAGGAGCTGCCAGCACTTCCCTCCAAGCTCTCTCCCCCTGTAGCTTCCAATACTACAGCAGACTGACACAGCCTCCTTTCTAGATACCCTACAGGAACTGTGTATGCAGGGTAGGTGATTTGGTGAAGAGCAGGTTATGCTTACCAACACACTTACCCACTGTTTTCCTTAGGACAGTCCCAGGATTTAGCAGGGGAAAGGCATCTGGTAGCAAATCATCGTACCACGTGGCTGTCGTCCCAGCAATTGGCAGGTTGTTTTCCAATGGCGGGCTTCGTTCTGCAGCCTCGAGCAGAAGGATCTAGACAGGATACAGTGAAAGCAAGAAGGTCAGCAGGATGGTTTCATGTGTGGTCTCAATCCTAAGAGATCTTGAAACTTGTCTCCTTGTCAGCAGGAGCTGTGGATAACTCTGCATCACAGACTGCAGGGTTTTGGTGTTAAAGCTCTATTGGTTTTCTGGAAAGCAGCAGTAATTAGTATAGGAAGCTGCTGTGTTAAGTTGCAAGAGCGTCCTGCACGTGCCCTCCTTGGAGAGGGCTTCACTGCTTGCCGAGAGACTCAGCCTCACATGTGATTGTCTCCCTCGCGAGAAACACAAAACCAGGGACCAGAGCTGGTGTTAGGGGATACAGCATTTCAACTGCTAGGTTAAGTGTTGAAATCCAGAGTCATCAGGTCAGAAATTACTGAGAGCTGGTACAAGGTGAAGGGCTGTAGGGTGCCCAGGGTAACAAATTGAGGTCCCTTGGGAAAAGTCCTGGCTGCAAGTCAAAGTACAAATGCTGACCAAATTAAAGATGATGGAGAATATGGAGGTTTTGAAGAGCTGAAGTGCTTTAATTTTGGAGTGAATAAAAAAAAGGTAGGCAATTTCCTCAAAGAGCTCTATTTGGAAGTAATAGGATATTATTAAAACTCACAACTGTTTCTATACCTTGTAAACACACTACCTTCAAATAAATCCACATCCCAATGTGCAGCCATGAGCTATTTGGGCCATTTACAGGGTAAGTTCCTTGCAAAATGACCCTGTTTTCCCTGTACAATTTAGACTGCTGTTCATCAAGCTGCACTCCCCTCGCCAGTGGCAGCCCAATGAAACTGGAAGTTGGTCATGGCTGCAAAAAACAGTGAATGCTCGCAAGAAGCAGAGGGATGCAGGACCCAGGTGGACTCTCCCCACAGACAAACTCTGTTAAAGTGAAGTCCAGGGGCCCATTCATTGCACTTTACAAAAAACGTTTTTAATTTTCACAAAGTTAGGATTTAAAAAAAAATATTTTTTTCTATTTTAATCTAAGTGTTTCATCCAGCCACTATGCATAACAAAGCAGTCTACAGATTTCTTTTGAAAAAGCCTAACTATCCCCTCAATTACAAACCCATCGGGAGCACTGGCGTGGAGTGCCAAGCCCACGTGCTCTGCTGCAAATGAATTTTATCCCAGTTTATCCCAGTGCTAAGTGGAAGCTTAACAGAGACCAAGGGCAGCACCCACTTTCCCAGTGGGGCAGCCAAAGGGTCGGCAGCCCCTGCATTAGCCATGCCCAGGATGCAGCAGCAACCCCTCTGCTCACCTGGGAGCTGGATCGATCCCTGGCAAAGCTGCCCACCTAGGATGGATGCAGGATGCCCATGGGGCAGGAGCCAGGCTGTTTCCAGAACAAGAGTTTTGATCCAAGCATCCAGCACTTCCAGCAAAGTCTGCTTTCTAAGCACAAAGCTACACGGGAAAATTGTTCGCGGAGTGCAACACCGTGGTTTGTTACAGCACTGCCTCTTCCTGTTTGGAAACCACCTAAGCAAATACTGATTTAGGGATAAGGGAAATAAAAGAGAATACAGTTAAAACTTTCCACTAAATCCCTAGAAGCTTCAGCTTTTACATGCTGTGTTGTCTTTACATAATGAAGTCACGCTGCAATTATAAACGAGAGTGACTTGGCTCCGCTTGTTTGTTTTTAACTTGCAATTATTACAAGGTTTATCACTTATTTATTACATGGCATGGTGAGAGCCAGTATTGCAGCAGCGCCAGAAATGATGAACTTCCTGCAGAATGCACTGGCCTGACAGGGGTGAATCAGAAATTAATTAAACTGGGAGCTAGGTTAAGTGCAAGGGAACTGAACCTCAGCTGTTGCAAACAAGCAAAATTCTTCCTTTACTGCAAGGATCTTTATTCATGGATCTGAGTAACGAGAAAGCAAAAAGGAATCAGGTCACACTGCTTTTACTCAACAGGCTTCTCTGACACCAGGCAAGGAAGGAATTGGTTCAGTCTGTCTCTTGCACTTCTGTGCTTTCTACCCAACAATTTATTTGTCAGACTTTCAAGGGAAATACGCTATCAGTTCAACAAACACTTAAGCATGTGCCTTACCATAATCATCCTTAATTCCCACTGACATGGGACTCAAGTGTGCACTGAAGACCTTTTCTGAATCACTTTATACTATTATATTATCCTCCTACCTCCCTAGCCAAATACCTGGATGTTGCCAAAGTGTACTCAGCAACGGAGGCAAAACTAGTCCTGGAGGTGGTAAATTAGAGGGGCTACAGCCAGGGCAGGGTTAGGATGCTCCCGCTGGGAGGAAGGGACGGACAAGGGCTGTCTTGGACAGTATTTTGCTGCAGCCCAGCAGTGCTGTGGGAAGAGGTGATATTAAATCAATAGCAGCGATGGTCAGAGACCAGCAAACCGCAGGGGTCCGGGGCCCTCCCGGGCAGCGCAAGCGGCACTAGCACAGCTCTGCCGAACATTGCGTCTGGAGTGGAACAGCTCCAAATCATTTTTATGGGTGATAATAAAAATGTGTTACCACATAATCAACACAAAACAGTGGCAACGGTATCCTTGTCATTAAAACAACATGTTTTAAATGAGCGCTCTGCTGATAAATGCTGTAAAGGATTTAAAGGCATGCACAGAATAATCCAGTGTGCTCTTTTATAAATTGACTATACATACCTAGCAGTCATTAGGGCTCAAACCATAGTAACAAGTTTATTTTCCCTGGGCACAAAATGATAGAGGTCAGGAAGTCTCCAGACTTGAAATTGCTGAGAAATTCTAGTTTTTATGATTAGGACTGAAGAAGTGCCCAAAAGAAATAAAGTAGAAAGAAGCGAGCTTTCACATCCGTGAGATCCACAGAGCCAAACTAAAGAAGAAAAAGCACGAGGGATTTAGTCACATTCAGAATCTCAAACTACACACAGTTCTTTCAACAAGGAGTGTCCTCATAAGCTAGCACAGCACAGCATAAACCGGGTCCTTACACGTTATTGCAATAGCACTGGAGCCATTCATCTATTTTCTGTCACGTTCTGTTTTTCTTAAGGCTGCCATTGCCGTAGTCAAGGGACTCGAGGAGAATTCCCACTTTCATTAAACAAAAAAAGAAAGTTTCTAGCCCTCCGAGTAAACTGCTGGAAAATGATACCACAGAGGCTCACAGCCAGAAAGCAAATTAGCAAAATGTGCAATATATTAAAGTTTCAGTATTAAAGTCTTGGTATTTTCTAGTCAATAAGGTTGAAGTAGAGAGAGAGATAACACCAAGGGAAGAAGAACGTGTGGTTTCAATTGGAAATCCTCACTGCAAACAGTGCCCACCTCTGTTGCTATTACAACTTCCAATGCAAAAGTTATGCCTCCATGAAGAACAGAGGCAGAAAACAGCCTAATGCCACCTTATAAATGAAATACATCTTGATGCCATGGGTAACATCAGTCACCCAACCAACCAGAGCAGGGACAGAGAACGAGCTGAAGGGCAGCACTTGTGGTTGCTGCCTGTGGCGTCAGGAGGGCAGATCCTCATGGAAGATATGAAAGCCTTTCCTCCCCAGTTCGTGCTGAATTGCACAAGGTGAAGGATGGCCTCAACTCAGCAAAACACTCGGGCTTTTGTCTTTTTGCACATATGGAAGCAAAAAGTCAAATCTGAGCCTAAATGGACACGCTGCACTGGAGCCTCTGGCAACAGAGGTCCCACCGGCATGAGGGCTTGTCTCTGGTTTCCAGACCCCACCTCTCAGACGCAGCTGAACTGGGTCAGAAAGCTGGAAAGCACTGAAATGGGGCCACGTCTCCTGCCAACACCGCAGCGGGAGACAGGCCCGACGTAGGACATGGCGTGTGAACACGGAGGGAATGCAGGAGGGATGACGCACTGCACTGGCCGAGGAGCTCACAGGCCAGCGCCAGCGGCAGGGGTTATTGCCTGCAAAACTCACCCCGGGGCCCTTTGAGTCCCGCCGAGCTGCCGGGCTCACCTCTGCACAGGATCTGGCGCTTGCTCTTCTCCCATGGCTCAAAGCCTGGCTCTTCACTGCAGGGCCTGCTCACGCACAGGGCCCTCAGCAGGGACATCAGTGTTATGTGCCTCAAGCTCAGTCCCAGCTTACTCAACCCACCTCCCCCTTTTATATTTGCCAGCATAAACTTTCTAAACTTCAGACACATACCACATTTCTTGCGTCAGATCAAAAGCTCAGGCCAGGGACAATGGAAATGGGAGGAAGGTTTTCATCTTCTTGAGATGTTCAGTGTCAGAGGACTTTTTTTGGCTTGCCGTAGCTTTCAAGAACCCTATTTTGGTTGTTTCCACACATCAAAAGAAGATTTCACAAACACAGCCTCCTCCCATCATCCGTCCTCCGCTCGCATTCCTGATGTCCTGTAACTAGTAGGTGCTAGAAACAAGGAAAGAACAGCCGGACTTCCAAAGATTTCAAAATTGATACAACAGGGCTCAGAATGCTCTTTCTTCGGATAAAAATCCATGGAAATGCAGAGGGAATCATTTGACATAATCCAGATGGATATTATTAATTAATAAACAGGGGATATTTGGTCTCTTGAAGCATTGGTGGAATTAACTCCCCTCCATCCCTCTCTAAAGAGGAGAGAAAGAAACTGCATGAATCCAGCTCATCAACTAAAAATTCCAGCATAAAATAAGATTCCCTTGATCTTGTAAAGACGCAAGCTGATTAATAATGGTAATTGCATAACTTGTTGGACATATCTTTCTTTGTAGCAAATGATTTGGCAAAATATAAGAGTTTTTTAATAATTCATCAAGACACAGAGCTAAACAGGGAGTTTTACAGAATCTGATGGCAAATGGTATCTCTCTTGTAGCAATATGAAACCTGTGAACACAAGGATCCAACACAGATGCAATTGCTTGGTCTGAAAAGCCAAAAGACATTCAGTAAGTGTCCGCTAAAATCTGATGAACTGGGTGCCCAGAGAGAACCTGGGTGACTTCATCCTTATTACAT